GGAAGAAGACCAGAAGAAAAGGAAAATTTTTAAAAAAAAAAAAAAAAACCCAAAAACCCCCAAACCAACCCCAACCTCTCCAAAGCCCACGGAAAGCGGAGGGAGGGGGTGGGGGGGCGAAGGGGGCGAGGGAGACAGTGGAGAGGGAGGGGATGCGAAGAGGAGGGGGCTGCCATTCACCTGCCCGCGCCGCCTGTCCGTGCAGCCAGCTCCGCCGGGACCGGCGTTTCGGGACGGGGGAGGCGGCAGGGAGCCCCTCCGCTGCCCGGAGGAGACAAGCCCGGAACGTCTCGTCGCCCTCCCGGTGCCCACGGCCGAAGGCGGGGGTGACAGCCGGGACCGCGCCGCCGGAACCGAGCGCACGGATGGCCGCCGGTAAGTGCCGCTGCCGGCACCGCTCCCCCCGCGCCCCTCTCCGCGCCCCGCTCGGCTTGTGCGGGGTTTTAATGCCGGCAGGAATAATAAGGCGGCCTTGTCGGACCCTGCCGCAGCCGCGGAAAAAGGGGGTTTGTTGTTGTCTTGGGAGCCCTTTTGCTGCCGGGGGTGGCTCCGGCCGGCGGGGGGACGCGGGGGGCGACAGCAGAAGGGGCGCGCACAAAGGGGCCCCTGTCCTCGGCCTGGAGCCTCACGGCGGGCTCTCCAAAAACACGTACACCGGGGCTGTTTGCCTTCTGCAGCGTGCCCAGGGCATGGAGACAGCCCAGCGGGGTACACCCCCCGGGAGACGCACCACCGCCGGGACGGGACGGGACGGGATGCGGTGGGACGGGATGGAATGGGATGGGATGCGGTGGGATGGGATGCGGTGGGGTTGGACGGGACGGTGCGGACTTTCCCCTCAGGGGGATGCCATCCCCCCGGGGACAGAGCGCGATGGGTGTCACTGTCCGAGGAGACACCAGCGCCGCTCCCAGCCCGGGCTGCAGAGCCCGGCCCCCTCCTCCTCCTCCTCCAGGGATGTCCCCGTGGTGGTGGCCGTGCCAGGCAGAAGGGTTCGTGTCCCCAGCACTGCCACCCCTCCTCCTGGCAGTGGCCAGGCCCAGGCACAGGCCAGGCCTGATGGAGGGTTCTCATTGTGGTTTGGTTTTTCCACCCCCCTCCCCCAATTTATTCTCTTGATATTGATGTTTTACTTCGTGGTGGTTTTGTGGTTCGGGAAAGGTGATGGGATGAAAGCTCCAGGCCCTCTTTGCCCAGAAGTTGCTCTACAGAAGGCAGCGGTGGTTTTCTTCATCACCCGAGTGCCTCAAAATTGGACTGGAAAGGACAATAGCTGAAAGGGAAATCCAGTCTTTGGTTACATGCAGCTATCTCCTGAGACTGCCAATATATACCATTTAGTGCCATTTCTGATGACAGGAGGTATTTTATGTGTCCGTTAAGAATTGGACAGAGACCACCGGCGAGCTCAGCTGGTTGCCAGTAACGGCAGTAACGACTTTCCATCCCTACTGATTTGGCCGAGCCCCAGCTGGTGACAAGGAGGAGCCAGGCTCAGTCCCATTTTCAGACTCCGAGCTACCCAGTAGGCAGGGCTCCCCTTGCTTTTGTAGGTGTATGGGGTTTGGGGTTTTTTCTGCGATACTTCAGTTATAAAACACTTCACAGTGGTTTGTAGACGGATAATCTGACTGGTGCTTTTTTCCCAGGATGATTCTTTACGCAGCAGCGCTGTGATCAGGAGAAGCGAGTTTGTGATTCAACACACCTTGATTAATGAAAATTTTGAAAATTTTTCAAAAATTTTGAAAAAGCAGAAGGAGCTGGCACACCAGTGCATGGTTAAATTGGCCAGTTTTGCTTTCCAGGGATTTATGCAAACACTTGTTTATTTAATTACATCTAATTTAAGGACACGCACCGAACGTTTTGCTTTGATCTATGACTTTCACAACATTCAGCAAATGCCACAGGAAAAGTCAATGAATAGCACCTTTTCTCACTTGGTTTCATGTCTTACCGCACATTCACACAACTTTGATGGGAAACTGTAACTGAACCTACCTTTGCTCAAAAAAAGGTCACTCTGAAAGCTTTGAAGCACCTTTTAACAAACCTGTCCTGAATTTCAAGTAGTTGACAACACTTGAGATGGGTTGAGTTTCTTTGGAGTTCAGGTCAGACTGTGGCCCTTTGATAGGCTTTCCCTGCGCACATCTCCCTGTCACAAACCGTGACCCGGCGTTTACCTTCCAGGCTCTGCCTACATCTCCTGGATGTACGTCAGGAAACAGGAAAACGTTTGGAATATCTTCTTTTTTTAGGTTTTGTTCAGCGTGACGTACTGTTCCAGACCTTTGTTGTCCCAAGTGACCTGGGAAATACTCCCTGCTTCATGTCATGAAGAGTATTTTACTGGCTCCTCACTTTTGGTGCCAAAGGCAATTGCTGTTTTTCAGGTGAGGTCTGCTGGGAGCTTGGCTATTGCAAAGCAGGGATTTGAAATGCTTGGCTTATGCAGCGGGTATCACAGATTTACTGAGTGTATCCTGTCATTTTCACTCTCTCCAGGGAAAGGACTTTCCAGTGAAACAAACTGAGAAAAAAATGACTGAGTGGTTGATCTTCCCTCCACCCAGCATCAGTGTTTCGTGGCTGTGTGTAGGGACCGCCAAGCAGCGTGAAGCACAGTGTAGGACAGAGGCTCCTCCGGGTGCTGGTGCTCCCACTGACAGTAAGTATCCAGCACCGAACCAGAGCACACCAGAGGTTTACAGCCATGTGAATTCTGGGGAAAGATCTTATTAAACCCAGCGTCCAGCCTTTTTTTTGTACTGTGTTTAATTTCCTCTTTCTCATTCTCTTTTTCCTCTGCCCATCCTTTGCCCGCACATTTCTTCCATCTCTTTCCTCCTCTCTCTTCTCCTTTTCCCTGTCCCAGTCTTTTTCCCTGTGGTCTTTCCTCTTCTAATGTTTGCCTACCTCGGGCTGGGCCTCTCCCGCAGCCCCTGCCAGGCCGCCGGTTCCTGCCGCACTAAATCAGTGCTCCCGGAGTCAATGGCTCCTCTCAGGCACTCACAGGAGGTGCAAATCCAGGGGGGCAAATTAAGCATAGCGACGCGCAGGCGGAGCGGCCGAGTAGCCAGAAGGCTTCAGCAGCTAAAATCCAAGTGGGTTCAGGTTTGTTTTTTTCTTGCTTTGATTTGCTCAGAGTTTATGCTGAATTCTTTGAGTATGGCATTTCCTATTTGTTTTCTTCCCCTTCCCTGCTGCCCTCCCTTCAGCTCTGCTCCTGCCTGTCAGTTTTTATATACTCTGTACCTTGCCTGTGGTTTCTAATATTTGGGGGGTTTTTGCTTTGCAGTGTTTGTGCCCTGAGAGACACTTTGCTATGTGGGTGCGCTGTGTTTTCCTGGGGCTGCTGTCAAGGTGTTGCAGAGGTTCCTGTTCTGTGACCGTGGAAGGGGGACTTGCAAGCCTCCTAACTCCGGGGGGAAACACAGATGGGAAATTTGCTGTAGCATGCAGTTGTGCTCGTTGCTGCTTCAGTGTGTGAACTGTGCTGCTATACAGATATACCTCACACAGATAGAGGGGACGTAGCAGCCAAACCGAGGGAGGAAGCTGACAGTCAGTGTGCTCCTGCTGAACCGCTGACCGGCAGGACGTACTGCACGGCTTGCTCACCCCAAGCTGGACACAGAAATGCAAAGCAGCTACAGCCAGCTCCTGCTCAGCTCCTCCTGCCTCAAAATACCTTTGTCACTGTCATTCGGTGATCTGGTATTAACTTTATTTTAGTACCAGCCACTACCATTTCCTCAGTGAGACAGCTGGATTACTTAATACATATTCACCTGCTCTCACATGTGTGTACCTCAACACTAGACTACATTGGGAAGATGCAATTTGCATCAGGCACATCCCTGTCGCTGCAGTTTGCAATGAAAAGACTGTTACAGGCTTTAGCTCTCCATACCACACAAAAAATAAAATTAAAAAAAATCAGGTGGTCCTAGCTAACACCTTGCTGCACGTGGATTTCTTAGCCATGTCTATTGTTTTCATCCCAGGCAGTGATACATGTTGGAAATTATAGCAATAGAGCCTGAAATCTCTTTGTATAATCTAGAAAAAAAAAATTGTCACAGCTGTGTCTTGTGAGTTTCATGAAGGGGTCTGAGGCACCCAGAGCCATACACAAGTTCTTTCCCAGAGTCAGCTGAGATGAAGGTCCTGGTCAGAGATCCCACTCCAGAGAGTTAGTCATCCCAAATGACCTCAGTAGAAACTTCTTAACTCTAAACTTTGGTCTTCAGAGTAGAGCATTTCCCAGTGGAGCAATGCAAGCAAACTGACATCTGTTGAGATGAAATGAGCAGCCTCAAAAGAAAATTGCTCATGATGGCAAGGAGTTACTGGAGCTAGCTGAACCTGATTGCAATCAGCTGGCTTGTGCCCGAGAAATCCTTGATCAAAGCTTACTTCCAAGCTGTGGTCCGTAATGGTTGTCAGCTGCTGTCTGCCTCAGTCTACAGCTTAATGGCACCTCGGAGACAATCACCTCCTGCTTTTATCGGTGTTGCGGGACTGTGTTCCAGAATATGCTCTCTTCGGTGTGTTCAGGTTTGCTTGTTTGTTTTCTTTTTCTACATTTTAAATATATGGTAACTCTTCTTCCCCCAAAGGTGTTTTATTTCATTATAGTTAATAATTGCAGCTATCTTTCCTTAAGGTTAGGTTGTGTCAAAGCTAGGGGAACCCTCTGCCTTCCTTCTGGTGCTTGCCCTCCCTCCCTGCTGTTCGTGACCTGCTGGAGCTGTTTCTTGTTGCTAATAATTGGACATTCAAAGGACTTGCCCAGCCTTGGGTTTTAAGAACACATTTTTGAAGCTATTTTCTTGAGAAAAAGTGAGTATTGATTAATTTTTTTGTTTTGGTTTTTTTTTTTTATGCACATAGAAGAGGAGGCCTGATCTGGCAGGATGCTGAACGTGCTCTGTGGCAGTGAGTTCTGTCACTTACTGCACTTTCCAGGCTAGCTGCTGGAAATGTCACAGGATTAATTTCAGAATCCCCTGAGGTGCCTGTTGGCTTTGTCTAGAATCATTACTCATTCTCTGCTACATACACAAGCTTATTAAAACACGGTAAGACCTCAGTTGTGTTCGCTGCGTTACTGTTTATTTCCATTCTGCTCCAGCTGGGCTCTTGCCCTTTGCCTACCAGTGTGTTACGTGAGCACCTTGCGGTGGCAGCTAGCTGGGTTCTTCCATTGTGTGTGCTTATTTTGGGGCACACATGAGCTAACTGACGCAGGGCAGCCAGCCACAACCTCCTCCAGGGCTACTCTGCTGCTGGAGATCGCTTCTCTGGCTCGTGCCCCTCGCTGCTAGTCTGTGATAGCGTGGTGAAAAAATCAATAGCAGACAAATAAGTAGACACGATGTCATCCTTGCAGATAGGGAGGACTTGCAGGCAGCCAACAGATCGTGTATGTGCTTTAAGAATGTTTGTGGAGACGGAGTTAGGATCCAAGAATGTGCAAATAGCTGCCCATCCCAGTCTTACGTGCCTGCGATTAGGCAGAAGTGCTAAACCATCTCTAGGCTTGATTAGCATCCAAATCTGAAAGATGTGTCTTGCACCGAGGAGCTGGTTGGAGTCATCTTTCTAGGGCAGTGAAGATGAAACTGGATGAGTGGAGTCTCTCTCTCACCTGATCTCTGCTGAGGGTTGAGATAAAGCTGGAGGGAGCAGGCTGGCAAGAGCTGGGGGGCTGCTCTGCAAGAGTTTCCCCGTGTGGACTCCATCCAGCAGCGAGGAGCTCGGTGGCTTCTCACAGCCCCTTGGGGAGAAGGACATCTCTCTGAGTCAGCCAGGAAGCCTGTCTGCTGGCCGCTGTTTTCCCAGGGACCGATGTCCTCAGGAAGTAAAAGGTTAGCAGGGGCTATCAGCAGACTACTGTTGTGCGGAGACTTTTTTACGATGGCATTAACGTCTCTTTTCCTGTTGTTGTACAGAAATTATGACTGCTATGTCAGTGTTGAGATGAAAGTAGAAGCTCTTTTGCATGGAGCAAGCATTAAAAGCTAGTTATTACGTTAATCATAAAAGAAAATTAGTGCTGGCCGGCAGCTCTCTACTTTCAGAGAAGTTTGCTTTTGTGTTGTTGTTCTTTAAACTCTTTCCACTCATCTGTATCCTTTTGTACAGAGCCAGCTACGTGCCTGTCACTGTCCTCTCTTACTGCCCAACCTGGGGTCTGCTTCTGAAGCTCCTCAGGAGCTCAACTTTTAGACTTGCGGGATAATTTGGCATCAGAGCAGAAAAATAGGAGATAGGATGAGTCTTTCAGGTATGCAGTGTGTGATAATAAGATAATGTTTGTAACTGGTTGTGACGGGAGAGCCTCTGGTTTCGAGGGATGAGCTTTTTCAGGAGGAACCCATACGGTGTTTAACAGTGTCATGTCAAAATAAAAATCATTGATTAAAAGTGCGCCTTACTTGTGCTGCTAAAAACACTTCTAGATTATATGCCGCTGAAAACAGTAAATATTTAATGTACAGGTTTACTTTTCCTGGTTTATAGAGAGCTCCGTGGGCCTGACAGAGCAGCTAGACAGATGTGTTTATAGCGAGCTCCCCGGGTGGGTACAATGCTGCAGTGTTTGACCTGCGAGCACCGCAGGGGCATGCTTGAAAAAATAAGAGTGTTCCATTTACATTGGGGGAAAAAAATCCTGAGAATGTTTCTATTAATACTAGTTGGTGTAAAACCCCAAATTCTACATTTCAGGCCTTGCATATTTCAAAAATAGAGGACGAGATGGTGGTTGGTGAGGATGTGGGGTAAGAAACGTTTCCTCCCTTACATAGCCAGTGAAAGGGATGGTCGAGGTGGCAGCTCTTCTTGCAGGAGAAGAGGGTTGTTGCTGAAATGCCCCCAATGAAGGTCGGGTGTGATGTGAGGAGCAAGCAGACCCTTTGCAGGGGAAAGCATGGGTGGGTGCGTGGGGGCACAGAGCAGTGTGTGGTGCCTGTGAATTTCTGTGGACTAGGAGCTGGGGCTCAGGACCACAGCCGAGAGCCTGGACACTTGTCCAGAGCCTGGGCTTGTTCCTGTAAGGTGAGAAAGACCAGATGCTATGGGGAAAACAAAATGTGCAGAGCCTGCCCCACACCTGGGGTGTACACCCCCCACACACCTGCAGGACGCTGATGGGCACGGTGGGAAATCCACATCCAGGGAGATTTTATACACGTCAGCTTTGATCTTAGCTGGGGTCTTATCTGAGCAGTAGCTTCTGATCTCGATTATACTGAGGTTAAAACTGATTTATCTGGTCAAAATTAATGGCGTTAATTAATTAGCACACATTAATTAACTGAAACAGCTGACATTTGAGTTTCTGGAGAGCTCCCAAGAAATGGGTGGCTGTATCTGCCTCTCTCTGATTTCTTCAGAAGTTATCCTTGCCTGAGAAACGAGCTTATTTTGATGATCTGATTAAACAGCTGGCAACTTTTTAACTCTTGAAGGAAAAAGATTAACTTTTTAAAAGGGTTTCTTGGGCTGACTAACTTCTCAGGGAAGTTTTCTATTGAAAAAAGTAGAGTTAGGAAGTAGAAGTCTCGATTTGGGCTGGGTCAGTGCTCTATGATTAAATATAGCCATATATATATATAAAAAATTTAATAGTCCTCCTGGTGTGTGAATAAAGCTAGGAGTCCCGGTGAGGTTGTTTTGCTTTCCCACCAGCTTCACCCGCAGAGGACATCTTTCCCTGGCTGCAGGTGGCCTGCCATCCTGGTGACACAAGGTGATGGGGCCATCCTGTGGGTACCTGCTGATGACAGGACAGTGTTATCCTGGTAACAGCAGCTCAGGACCTGTCCCTGCTGGGGCCTTCCATCACAGGGGCACTGGGCTGCCTTTGCCCCATCTGCAAGCTCCTTCTTCTGACGAGTGCTGTGCACGGACCTCCCCGTCGCACCGGGGGCAGAGCGTGGTGAAAGGGGGGTGCCGGGAGAAGGGGGCTCCTGTGCCCAGCTCTGGTATTGCTGCTGTAGCACCAGGGGCCATGGCACATCCAGGAGAAGCGGCAGAATAACACAACCCTTTCCTGGCAAGCTGAGCTGCGGGCTGTGTTTCCCTACGGCCCGCTCACAGCTCTTTACTGGGCATCAGCTGAGAGCACCCGTTCAAGCAAACCCAGCCCTCTGAGACCCAAACTGAGATTCTGTGATTGCAGCAGTGGCGCTGGCCCCATCCCCCTGCATTTAGGACCTCTTGGTTTTTTGCCTTTGAGTGGCACACAGGTC